ACTCAGTAGTGATGCTAACCCCATGCAGATACTGAGCAAGGACATGGAGTCATCTCGAGCTCTCAGGATTAATCCCCCTCTCCAGAATTCCCAGGACAGGCTGTTCCCRTCCTGCCTCTGCTAATTACCACCATTCATTTCTCCTCCTCCTTGCCATGCTCCATGGTGGCCCTTYCCTTGCTATAGATAAGTGCCCAAGAAAAGGCTCCTGCTCCTTCTCCTTGTGGCCCGGAGGAAGGGGGAGGACCTGGGGAGGACCCCGGTTGCATTCGGGAGTCCCCGTGCTCATGAAATCCCATCATTGTTTGCCTCCCACCATGTCAGTCCTAAACCCTAAACCCTGGTCCCTGGTTCAGCCCTTGGCTGGAAAACACTGCAGGGTAGGGAGTAGACTGGGAAGAGCTCAAAAGCACAAGGGTTGAGCTGCCCAAACACTCTGGTGATTCAGAGAAGGAAGAACTCCCTATGGAGAGGCTACCAGGGCTGGAGCAGGTTGCTCTGAGCAGTGATAGAGGCTCCATCCTTGGAGATGCTCCATCCTTGGAGATGCAGACCTGGCCAAGGTCCTGAGCAGGGAGCTCGGTGCTACCTGGATTGGKCAGGGGGTTGGAGCAGAGGATCATCCACAGCCTGAGCCCTGCTGTGCTGACACCAACCTCTCTTCTTGCAGCCTGGAGCAAAGTGGGTCCAAAAATTCTTGTAGCGAGAACCGTTTTGGAGCCGGAACATCGTGCCAGGGAGGAGCGCGCGGCGCCGCTGCCATCCAATGCTGGTAAATAAACCCCGCTGCCAGTGGCTGTGCTCCCAGCCGGCCCCTGTCCCCACGTGCTTTCCTGTTCCCACATGCCGCCCAGCTCCTCGGCAGCACCCGAAGCTCTTGCATGGAGGCAAGTGTAGGGCACACATGAGGAGATGCTTTTAAGTAGCCCACGGGGTACACAATTATTAACTTTTTGTGGTTCTGCTTAAAAAGCAAGAGGCGACTTTACCTGGATCCTCACCCAGACAAACGGGATGTGCTGCCCACTCCCAGGATGGTTGTGGTGCAATAGGGGGGTTGAATAAAACCACTGTGGGGGGAAATGGTCCCATTTAGGAAAGGCCTCGCGCTGGAGCAGAGCAGGGAAGGGATCCGCTGGGACAGGCACCGCTGCTGCCTGTCCATCTGTCTGGCCATCCGTCACCCTTTTACTTTGGGATGCAAAGCAAGTTCCTACCCACAGCTTTGCTGAGCTGCGGAGGTGAAGGGCAGAGGGAAACATTGACAGGGAGGGGTTGCAAATAGCATCAAAATACTGCCAGACTCTTAAAAGTAGGGCCTTTCTGCAGGGCCTGATCCTTTTGGGTACCTGTGGTTTCCTTCATGCTTCCCCTTCCAGCTCCCTGGGGAGCTGCAGTCCCCAGCACAGGCTCAAGAGCAGGGTGGTCGGTGCCACCTGTACCAGACACCTGCAGCAAACACTGCAGCCTCCTGCAAATAAAACACATTTCCAGGTAGGGACAGGACAAGGCAGGAAGTCAATAAAATGGGGATCATGACCCATTAAAACCTTAAGCCTCTGTTTTATACAACCAGGGCTTCAAATGCAGCAAAGCCTCAGTACCACAAGCACACAACCCGCTTAGTCCATCCACTAAAATTAATACATTAACTAAGTGACCTTTGGAGGCAATATCTCTCTTCACTTTATAACCTGGTGGCAGAATCCAGCCCAAAACAAGACCTAAGTCTYAAGTGATGAATTTCTTTTGCTTTATACTTAATTTGATCCTGCTGAGATGGGTCTGGATGGGAGCTGGACCTCTAGAGTGGATTAAAACATAACCCGAGCTTGAATAGGCCTGGGGGAACTTGAATCCTGTCTTCACCAGGAGAAGGTTTCTGAATACACTGCCATACACCTTGTGTGATGATATCCAGAGTTAGCAAAATGCTTTTAGGAAAGAAYGTGGAAAAAAACATAAGGTTTCTTCAACCCCCAACTTCGCATAACTCTCCCTTGTCACAGTAAACTTGACTCTTAAAAATATATTCCCTGGGGTCATGTATTCATGTCACTTGTTGCCTTGTGCTCATTAGAAAGGATTTGTTCCCAGGTCCTTCCCTAGGACAAAGCCTCTAAAACACTCCAGAAATGCCCTGGTGCTGGTCTCGGGCCTCCCCAAGCAGCCACTGCTGTGGGCAATTCATCAACACCCCAATCACTCCACTCGGTGTTTTCTTCTCCCCTGCTTTCAAACAATTTAAGGCAATTTTTAAATTAAACACAAAGGCCTTTCCGCCTTTCAGAAAATTAATCACTTTTGGTGTTTATTAGTTATTCATTTCTGCTTTAAACATGTTTTACAATTCATTAAGCCACCTCAAAAATTAAACCCTCAGCAGCCCAAGGCCCTAAATATGTTTAAGCAAGAAAATTAAGCACAGAAATAAAGAGTGCAGAATCCTGAAATATTAATTAGGCCCAGAGCATTTCAACTGTTTACTTGCGATAAGCAATTAGGAACCAACTTCCCGCTGTCCCGGCCACTGGTTCACCGGGAACTTGCAGCTCCGCTCCCAACATGTCCAAATCCGCCCTCCTAACAGCGTCCCCTGTCACCACCGATGGTTTCCAGAGTGAATTAAATCGCTGGGCCATTTCCCAGCATGAGATTTGCACTTTTGTGAGCTGGAAAAGGAGCCCGAGGGCTGCAGGAGGCTGCAGCCTCGGCAGGGATGTGGCGCTCGCCGCTGGAGCGGCCGCGCTGGCCGGGGGAACATCCCCATCTTACGGACGCGCTGCGGAAGCGCAGGGACACGGCATAAATAGGATCACGGACCCCTTCAGGTTGGAAGGGACCTCTAGAGATCATCTAGTCCAGGCCTCTGCACACACAGGCGCACCGAGAGCACGTGGCACAGGGCTGCATCCAAGCGGGTTTGGAAGATCTCCAGAGAAGGAGATGCAGCCTGACCCCCCTTCCAAAAACCTTCACTGCTTGAAGCACATGAGCCCTGCGAGGGACACAGATCCAGCTCCGGACCAGCCTGAGMCTCAAACGCAGTGGCCGTGAGGATGAGGACGGTACCTGCTTATGGATGGGTGGCCTTGGTGCTCTGTGCTGCGGCCACCCCAGGGGAATTGGACCCCTAAAGGCTCCAAAACAAGGAGCAAAACAAGGCGAGGGAAAGGAGTCAGGAGCCTTGCAGGTGATTCCCAAGAAAGCCAGAACTTGGCTCAGGCTGCCAGGCAAACGGGATAGAGGGGGCACCGTGTAATCGGGGAGCAGCTTCCCTGCACTGCGTAATCTGGGAGCAGCTTCCCTGCAGTCTGAGCCCGGCCGTCGCTCCCGGAGCTGCTCTGCCCACGTGGTGACCGGCACCGGGAGCCGACCCGGCCCCTGCAGCAGGAGCCGGGGGTCTCTGCCCACCCGCATCCCACCAGTTCCCCCCCTTTTCCTCWCCGCATCCCCTCTCTGCTCCCGAATTCCTGGGTTTCTCCCTGGGCCCTGCAGGTGAGCGCTTCCTCCCATCCCCTCCACCCGCAGCTCCGGCGCCTCGGCCCGGTACTGCCCGTCCCTCCAGCAGGGAGGTGAGAGCAGGGGGGCACCCAGGGTCCTCCCGCCGCGGCCCCCAGCCCAGCAGGCAGCAGCCGAGGGGCTTTGGGGGGGCCCTGCACCAGCAGCGCAAACCGGTGCAACCCACGGACACTAGAGGGAGCAGGGAGACCTCCTGCGGGCTTGGGAGCAAGAAAATAAAGTTTCCATGTACTTGGAACAGAGCAGTAAGGAGAAAACAAGGCCTCTAAACCCATCTGTACACCAAGAACAATACTAGTTACCAAATGCCTTAAGCATTTTAAAAGCAGGTATTGCTATTTAACTTGAGCACCCCTAAAYGCCACCACTTCACACTCGCAGGGCGTTGCTGCTCATGGCACATCAATGGTTCAAAGTTGCACAAATACCTGCAAAACCAGAGCCAGCAGGGCCTCCCACCCACGTCCGAAGCATCCGTGACCCCTATGGGTGCATGGATGTCTTAAGGAAAGGGGGCCATGAAATACTTTACTGGGAATACAGATTTATAAACAGCTCTGGAGGGCTCTATGGGGCTTTTGGCAAGGTTCACTTTGCAAAGCAATTCACACTGTTCTAATTCAGGAATGCTTGCTCATTCTTTTTGCATCAATTAAAGTGGTTGAATTTCCGAGTCAAATGCTCTTTTTTGTTAATTATAAAATTTTACGCATTTGCAAGCCTTTATTCTGGTTCTCAAGGAAGTGCCAGCTATCTAAACTCTACCTTTATCACTACTCACCGCGTTTAACCCRAATAACCATAATTTGGAGGTTGTCTTTGGCACGCGGCAGGTCAGGGCGAAGCGGCGCGGAGGACACGACGTCCCGTGCGCCGCTCGGCTCGGCCTTGCAAGAAGAAGAGAGCGCAGTACAATGCAAACTTTAATGTCAATATATACAGAGCTTTAAAGAAAACATTCTTTTTTTTTAAAATTAATGAAATAAATACAGTATGATACAAAATCCACAATATGCTTGGAGAAAGAAATGACAGTTACAATATCTTGTTACCGGGGACCTTTTGTATCGTTTCAGCTCTGACGTACCTCGGAGCGTGTCACTCACTGCGCGCCGCTGGCAACGGTTAATGCCCTTTCACCGAGTGAGATTTATAGCCAGTCCCGTGCCAAACAGTTTTAGCTCTAATCAGAGTTATCAGTGCAAGGATGCCAAAGTGCTTGGGATATTACGACAACGCAGTGACTTGGCGAATGCTGCTCGCAAGCCTTGTGCGACGCACACACAACGGGAACGCTTCGTCCTGCCACGGAGAGCCACGCCGAGCATCCCTGCCCGGACTCACTGCTAATTACATAATTCCCCCCATCGGTAATAAGTTATTTCCCAAATCTCGGTTATTAAGAGACATGACCAATTAAAAATCCTCTAAAGCTTTCAAATTAATTTTTTACGAGAAAATTTGCTCACACTCAGGAAAACCTCGAGGAAACCAGGAATTGATTAATCTGGGGGGACTCGGGTTAGGTAAGTTACGCATCATTCCACTCAGCTCTAGCTGCACATGGGCTTTTTTCTTACTTTGCGTTCATCCTTACAGTCCCAAAGGAAAAATGCAGGTTTGTTAAAGTTAAGAAAACAATTTGGCAGAGTCAATGTTTGAAAAAAATAAAGTAAAATAAAACCTGAACACCACACACAGCAAAAAAACCCCACACTGAAGTAGGGACGAGCAGGATTCAGAATGAGCTTCGCTAAGGAGGTGCTAATGAGAAAGGGTCGCATGTTACCCACAACAGTGTATGCATCTTACCAATAGAGATTAGYGCCTAAGAACATTTTTGAACAAATTTTGAGAGGCTTTTTTCAAGTTCCCATAACATACATGAGGACTTCATCCCCCCTATGGCTTTGGATGCCTTCAGGAAGCTTTGAGAGACAAGTCTGCTCCTGCCGYCCTGCTTTCTCTCACACACATATTCACAAACTTTCAATTCTAGATAGGACTGAAAAAATCAAGTGCTACAGAAGTACATAAAACCGCATACTGATCAGCCTGATTTCATGGATACAGAYCCGCATAATTATGGTGATTTTCTTAAACTTAAACTCCACCCTTAACTTTTCAATATAACTTGAGGACAGAGGGAAGAGCAGCCACCCATCACTGGAGATGACCTACTTATAGGTATGCCGCAAGCCATTCCCAATTGTCAAGATTTGCCAGCAAATCTTTTTGATATTTTGATCATTTTCTTCAACACATATATAGAGCCTAAGCGTTAGATAATGATTAAAATACGGAAGACTTAATTTGACGTAACTGACCTGGGCCTGGAGGGTTTGGATGCTCTCTCTGAACTCAAGTGAGCATTGAAGCCATGCAACCACAGCACGCTTGGACCACCCTCGCCCCGGCCTCTTGGTGTGGGCAGAAAGAATTTACTACTTCCAGGCTTAATGGAGAAGAATAAAATACAGAACCACCAACAGCAGCATTCAGGCCACCAAAAGCACAAAAGGGAGCTTAAATCACCCTGCTAATGCTCTCCGCTCTCCAATTTGGACAGTCTTTAGGAAGCTTCCCTGGCTTCTGCTAGTGCCACAGTAGAACTTTGGAGTTTAATACAGCAATACAAGAGATTCCTTACTTTTTACTGAAAAAAAGGGGGAGGGGGGGAGAAAGGAGGAAAAAAAGAAAAAGGGTATTTGAACMTAACTGTAGCATTCACAGTGATCAAAAGCAGCAGCTGCTGGCTCCAGCTCATCRATGTCAGAGTAATTACTTGGAGGAGCTGCCTGAGAACTGAGAAGCTGCCTTCCCCATTTCTCTGCAAACCTCTAAAAGTCACATTATTACTTATTCAACATCATTATTATAGTAACATGGTAACTAGTTTGGAGTCTGTAATTGTGCAGAGACCATAACAAAAAGGAAACAAATTACACTAACCTTTTGCTCCAGCCAAGAGCACACTTAAATAAACACAATGTTGTTTCAAGTGCCCAGCCGATTACTCGGGAGCAGATCTTGCTACTTTTTATATAATCACCCGATTGAAAAACATCTAGGAAACAAATGAAATATACAGGAAATACGAATGGAATTGCAAAAGAAGTAAGAACGAGGTGATCGTTAAACACTAGAGTAACAGCAACCTGCAAACCATGGTAGAACTCTTCTGTATTCCTGTATATCCAAAATATTCCAAGATTGATATGCTGAGATACTTGCAGCAAATGAACCTTTCCCCCCAGATTAAGCATYAAGAGTGGCGTGCCCGGTACACTGGTCTCTTTAGAGAAAACAAAGATGTTTGACCATATTGTTGTGATAAGACAAAAATCTGTAATGTTACAGTCACCGAAACCTTATTTTTGCTCCAGGAGAAGCACTTACACTAGAGGCTAATAATGATATAAAACCCAGCAGGGATAATGTCACAGAAAATGCTTTGAGTTCTGTGCTCATAATCAGACGTTCCACCCTGTTTGTGCATTTTTCCTCTTACCACCTCTGTTCTGCACGATGAGAAGAACTTAGTCGTATCTTCAGCTGCTTACAACTGCTTTTGTGCAAAATGTTTCTAAGGTGCTTAAACGTGGTGCTTCTGGGCAAGCTAAAAGAAAATACCAATGTTAAACAATTCATGAATACAGGCATCAAGGACCAGCTGCTGCTTTGTGGGAAAGCTGAAGACCATTCAAGTCTGCGCCTAGTGGTGTTCAACTCCTTGCCTAACCATTTTTTTCCTGATGTTTCAACCTGCCGTTATACCTTGCCCAAAAGCTCCATTTCCACCATTTCAGCTTTTCTTGAAGGGAATTCAAATTCTTTCGGCATTTGTAAAATCACAAACAAAATTATGGATAGCCTGCTGATCAGCGGTTTCCACACCAAGTTCTCTGGTAATGAAAAGAAGGATGAACCCACTGGGTAGGAGGCAGATTTCCTACTGAGCAATAAGCTTCCTAGGTAGCACCTCCGCCCTTCCAAGATTTCAAACAGGCACCTCAAAATTAGGCACAAAACAGCCCCTAAAGCTTCCACCATCCACCAAACACTCAAGATACAGTACAGGGTATGTTTTGAGTGATACAAATAGCACACCTATGTTTGCTATGCGCATAAAATCTCAAATCTCTATATTTCCATACTTAACTGTTTGGCCACATCTCCATCTTCCCTTATCACAACAAAAGCAAGCAGCTTATCTAAGAGTGCGTCCAATCAAACACTCTGCAGCTACAAGCAAAAACCACCCAGTATCCTCTACATTAAGGTGCGACTTTGTTCCTGCTCTTGGTAGCTAGACCCCAATTCTCCTGAAAGTTTTATTTTCTTCTGCCCTAAAAGCAAAGTCAAACCACCACAGATGTTAAAACCACCACAGATGTCTTAGAATTCGCTACAAAAGGGATTTGGGACAGAAATTCAATGATGGCAAATCAACCAGAACTACATTTGATTTTTGGTCACTTGGATTCTCTAACTGTTCACAATCTAATTGTTGGTCACTAATATACTTACCTAATATTTTAAATGTGCATCATCCTACTATATCAGTACAATTGTACAGTAATGTCTAAAACTTGTGAAAATGCTTTAATCGAAGCTCATTATCTCCGAGTGTACTAGCTCCCAGCCTACCAGCAGATGCAAGTCACCACTGGTGAAAACCCCAAGATGACCCAGACCCTGAGATTCACTTTCTAACACAGCATTTAGAAACAGCTAAACCCTAACACCAAGACAGAGAGTGGGTGAGTGAGTGAGTGCTGGCAACAGGATATTCTCAGTAACTCGCCCAGAACTGTGAAGTCTCTCTGGTCAGAAGTCCCTTACCCGGGCACACGGCAAGTCTTATTTATTTTCCCAAGCTACCCCTACAGTTAGGCAAATAGGATTTTGCAATTATATTCTGTAATATTTGTACATGCGGATAGAGATTCTGGTAGAAGCAATGTTCTTTAAAAAAAAAATCAAATAAATAAAGAGTAAAATCCATGTGCCAAGTTTGCTATAATAAAGTGTCAGGTGGCCTCATGACGACCAAAATTAATACTGGATATAGTGAGTATAGTCAGTGCCAAGGTGGTGGTAACAGAGTACAAACAGATAGGCAATATAAGTAACAGAATAGTTGCACAGTGTTGTCTTGGTGGCAACAATATTATTTAGATCCTTAATTCTGACAATTTACTCACACAGCTCAGTGCAGAACACGGTACCGCTCGTGGTATTGTCTAGCAACGTTCACCATCTTACAGGAGACCTTTTGTCAACTCGTATTTCCCGTGGGCCACAAGTGATTAAGTTTATGGGTAAAGTGCAAAAAAATTACACATCCTTTTTGTTTGTATTTTCACATAAACTTATCAGTGATTGGCACCATGCAAACACAGAGCTCCCAAATCAGCACTAATGCACAATACGTTGGTSAGCTTTTTGTAACAGCAATGAACAAGTTAAATGATTTATGTTGAATGAATTAAGTGCCCAATTACGAAATAAAAAATTTGTCCTTCACAGTAGGGTCTGAAAGTGTAAAGAAAAAAACCCTTACACYGACACTTTTTTATATACAACTTGGTCATTGGCAACGGTCCCCTAAACCATTTTTGTGAACCCAGCAGAACTATACAGAATAAGAAATAATATTTGCAACAGATCTCAAAGGACAGCGTAGAGAAATTCATTATGATGTACCTGGTGGTAGAAATTAATTTAACAGATACGGCCTGTAAAACAACACAGTATGAACCTGTGGATTTTTTTTTTTCTTTTTTAAAAAAAGGACTTTTACAGAATTCAAGTAGTGTAGCAGGAAACCGTAGATGCCTTTTGATCACAGGTCAGGCAAAATAGAGCCACTTATTGGATTTTTCCCTTGCTCCCGTTGGCTAAGGTGTCCCAGTGGGTCTATAAGTCTGTTGATGTTAGTTTTTTCATGCTCCGTCGCTGAGCTAAACTCGAGGCTGCAACAGGCTCTAACACTGGTTGAAATGTCTTGTGATTCAGTGCAGAATACGTGGCAGCCATGGCTCCCTGGGGAACAAGAAGATACAATAAGGCTGTAAAAATCATTTTTAATCATGAAATACTGCAACAGAATATTCAATTCTAAATGAACTCTGATAGAAAACACCAAACTCGAAGAGGCAGAAATATTTTCTAAGGTTTGTTTTGAAATAGCATTTACTACCAAATCCTTCAGGTTTCTAAGTATGGGTGTATGACATTCCTTTTTATTCCCTCCATATTTTTATTCCCTCCATATTTCTTCCACATACCTTAGATCCTGCAAAAACAGTGAGAATTAGTATCTTCTAAACAATGTTAGCATCAACTTATCAAAATCAGCCACTTAACTGGATATCCATCTCCTGATTTATGAACACGACAGAATTATTACCAAGTCCTTGTTTCCAAATCCAACAAAACTGAAATCTGATGCGAATAACGCGTGACAAGACAGTCACGAGGCTCAAACCCCAAACAATTTATTGGATAAGAACACCTGGAGGCCTGTTGAAATCTGTTTCAGGTGACTTTCAGGTTCTTATACAGCCTATGCTACTTAATCACTGAAACAGAAAAAATGGCAAAGTCTTCCCTTTGATATAGGCAAAAAACACTGCTCACCAATATTTGGTCTGCTTGCCTAACTTTAATGACTATGCATACACATGAGCAAAAAGACTAATGTCAAGAAACAAGTTTTGTCTGTGGCTCTAATGTGACCCAATTCACGGCAAATTGAATTATCTCCTTCCTTATCCATTGTCTGCAACTRGGAGGACTAATCCCAGGAAAAACTGACTAGAATAGAAACAGATTTAAGTGAAGCAAAATATATTTAGTGAAGAACTAACAAAAAGCCAGCCGCCACGTGAGCTGTGATTAACTCCATCTCATTAGTCACGCCAGGGAACGCAGAGGCTGCAGACACGCTGATGGCTCCGTCCACGGCTGCACCCAGGAAGGCAACACAATCTTATGATCACACAGAAGAACAAGGCAGCACCAGGTGGTTGTTCTGGCATTAAACAGTGACCAGGAACTCCAGGATAACAATAAGAAGCTGGAGGAGCTTTGAGAAGAGCTGCTGTCCATTGCACTTCACAATCCAGCAAGATCCCGATTGCACAAAGCCAAGACAAAAGCAACTTCTGGTCTAAAAAGACATTTCCCTTCCTAAGCACAACCTCCTTCCTATTTATTTCCACACAATTTATATGAGTTTTCTCCTCTGCATTAAAGGAAGTGAACATTTGCTTATTAATCCTGTGGCAACCACGTAAAGAACAACTTCAGACAAAGTAATTACATTAAAATAGATGCATCCCTTAACAGAGAATTCCTGGTGCTACATAAGCATCCTCTGCAACATCTTCCTCCTTYATTAATCCATATTTACAGCTTCAGGCAGAAAGWGAAGAACAATGCCCAACAGAAATCAGAGCGGTAATTTGGCAATGTTAATTARCAATAGGGGAGAGGGCAGAGAGTGTTTCTTTCCACAACTGGAAATTAAAATTGTAAATAGTAATAGGAGGGAATGGGGGGAAAAAAGAATTGGGTTGTTTTACCTTTACTAAATGTGGGGCATCTTGCCTGTTGAGCTGATAATGTGGCAGCTGATCCCTACAGGCTATCCATGAATGTTTGAGTACTTGCTCTGCTGTGTACCTCTGATGAGGATCTACGTGAAGCATGTGTGATAACAAGTCCTGGATAAAAGTGAAAATTRTAAGTATTATTCAGCTAAAATAATTTAACCTCAGATGTTAAAGCAATAATTACGGTCGACAATGAAAAACAGCCTATGTGGCAGGAATTAACACAATGCAGACACACACACACAAAATCAACAAATGAAGTGGATCATTCTGTGCCTTGGCACTGCTGAAGTCTGAAACAATGTGCTCTACTATTTAATCCACTTAACAGAGCAGGCCTTTGTCAGGAGACCTACTGTTGCTTTGTGCTTCATATTTCCATTTGTTTATATCTGATACCATCTTCAAAAAAATGATACCATCTAGCCCGATACTGGGCTAGAAATCCTGATCGCTAAAATTCAACAGAAAGGTTTTGTGCAAGAAAGTTCTTATTTGCAAATAGGCCTCCTTATTCCTACTATGCACTTGTCTTATGACAATATAGCACAAGTCAAGTTCGTTTATAGGGATACACTACTGAATATTTTTAATTCCCACAAGAAGCTGTACAAAGAATAAAGCCAAACAGAAATGAACACTGGCTTTGCCTGTTTAGAAATATGGGCAGTAAGGTAGTATCTACAGTGATCTCTCAAAAGGAGAGCTGTATGGGAACAGCAGAACAAAACCAGGAAATAAAAGCAGGTTGGACTTGAGTACTTTTACTGCAGGGAAGCTTATATAGATACAATAGCAAATGGTTGTGATGGACTTGGTTATTTTATGAAGGCAGGTAAACCCTCATTTGAATTCTACAAAAATAAATAAATTTGCACCTTTGCTGCATCTGAAACGGTATCCCAGTTGCCTCCACTTAAAGAGAATTTTCCACTGCCTATCCGTACCAGAATCTCCTCAGGAGTATCATTAGGACCATTGGCAAATGGAGTATAGCTATTAGGAGAAGAGAGAGAGCAGAAAAATTGTGTTATAAAAAAAATCAGGTAAAAAATGATAAATGATTCTATCGAGACACCCCACTGCTTGCAGACAAAACATTACATCTATTAGGTATTTCTTAAAYCAACTTTTCATCTTTGAAATTTTATCATTTCCTTTTTTCTTAATTGGGACTATTCAGGCAGAATAAACTGAAAATGTAAACTAAAAAGATGTTTTAAGTAACAGTATTAGAATAAAGCTTTCTAATCAAAAGCCAAATAAATGGAAGTGATTTATAACCAAAGTTATGCTAGACTGCCGGCGTACACAAAGCAACACAAACCTAGAGCAGGACCCTAACACGATGGTCTAATAAAGCTGGGAGCAATTTAGTGTTTGAGGTTACACGCATGCTTGTGCATTTAATTAGAGGGAACATGAGCACAATGCACATGCATCTGTCATTTGGGGGAAAAAAAAAAATCAAGCAAGTTTTTCGTTTTTACTAATAAAGTTTAGGTGGCAGAAACCATTAGGTTGGTGGRTTTGGAGGCTTTTAATAGTTTATGGGATTTCTTGAAAATTTTATATTATTTTCTACAAACTCTGCTGCAAAGACCATAAGAGAATTAAGAAGTCCACTATCTTAAGGACTTAAACACACCTTTTAACAATGCTGAAACTATTGCCATTTCCTATGCTCCCAGGAAAATACTAAGTACAAATTAAGTATTTAAAAAGAAAGCATAATCAAGTCTTACATTAAATAATTACATTGTAAGACCCTTCAGATTTGAAACAAGCATGACAAAAATAAAGCTCAGTAGTACTTGGAAAGTTCTGCCTGGAATCAATTAATCGATCAYCAGCAAAGGTTTAGGACCTATCCCGGTTAGTTTAACTTCATTAGCCAAAGTATGAGAATTAAGAGGAAACAAAAAGSAAAAACCTGAGCACGTGCTGGCTCCTCTGCCCCCACGCTCCYGGCCTGTCCTACCTGCTGTTCAGTCAGGAACGTTTCTCAAGCAGGCAGGCAGTGCACTGCCCAGTGTCTGCATGCTTGGGCCCAAATTAGGCAGAAAACTGCATTTGCAGGGCTAAATTCTGGCAGCTGTGGTGATTTTTTTTTTCATGGAAATGTTAAATATGATCAGAAAGAGTTTCCAGTTACCTGTATTTATCCATGAGACRCAAGGTCTTTTAATTTTTCTGTTCAACAGAACAGAATCCAGGGGCAGACTAATGAGGTACAAATTCCCTAAGGGCTTCATGATCACTAAGGATCAGTGATTCTGGAGAGTTTAGCAGAGCCTAAGAGGACGACCAAGGACCAGGTGTTTAAAGGTGACAGGGYGGCGGTTCTTATAAAACCCATAGGTTAAGTCCCTGGAAGGGCCAAGAGAAGCTGGACTGTGTGGGCAGTGGGATGGGGAGGACAAAGGACACAAGGGAGAAGAAAACCGCTGGCTATTTTCAGAAGAAGTTCTCTTCCCTAGAGTGTGGGGAGGCTATAGCATTCCATAGTCAGGCATTAAAAAAAGRGATGCCGTGAATCTATATGGTAGATAAATCTAGTTATGCCTACACTTAAAAGCTTCCCCTTCTACTTCAATATCTCTGCCATTCTGCATCCAAATCAATGATGAAGTATCTTATTTTAATCAATGCATGGACTCATGCTGGAATTTTACATAAACACATGAAAAAAGAAATATTTCTCACCCTGCCAACATTGTGTAAAGAAGAACACCCAAGCTCCATATGTCACAAGCAGCATCATATCCCTGTCGCATGAGAACCTATGAAACAAAGAGCTGTTAAGGTTCTTATTGAGCTATATAAAAAGCAATGCCCTTACCTCTACACAAACAATTTAAGGAAGAATAACTCAACATCAGAATAATTTCTGACATTGGATCATTYGTTGCTAAATATAGAGGCAACAGTAACTACTGGCAGTATTTCATGTTCCCAAAACATGATCRTTAAGTTTTCCAGAGGGTTTACATCTTATTTTTAAGGGTAGAGTTTGCTRTTCTTAAGGCAGGTTTAGTACAGTCACATGCATCATATTTATACTTAAATACTTCAAAAATTRAATTTAAATTCTCCTAAAGTAAATTTAGGGTTTTTTCCTCCCTCCTTTTTCAGCACTGCTACAAAGTTTCTTTCGTTGACACATCAGAAAGGGAGCAAGGAGAACSCATGGCAGCTGGAGATACCTCTGGCGCCACGAAGTTCGCAGTGTAGCAAGGAGTCAGAAGAAGTCCATTTTCTCCTCGAAGTTGTTTTGCAAACCCAAAATCACAAATCCTGATAGAATCAGCATTATTTGAATCATCAGTATATAAAATATTACTAGGTTTAAGGTCCCGATGCACTACCTTTAAACAGAAAGAATAAGATCCATCAAAGTTGCTTGTATATACGTTTATGTATATTTTGCAATTCATAAAAACTACTCTTTACAATAGTTATTAACAGTTCTACACAATTACATCAGTTTTTCTGTCAAGTACGAGGGGAAATCTATTTTAAGCAATCTCATTAAAGAAAAAAAACTACCAATTTATAATGCATCTGGAATTAACATAAACAATGTCCAAACAAGCAGAAAAGAATTATCTGCTGCTCTGTGACCTGCAAAAGTAGAGTTGAAAAGGTTGCCAGAATAACAGGCTGGGTTTATATTATTCACCTGTGTCAAAATACTCTGAAATTTTCTGCCCACTTAAAAATAAGCCTACCAAAGTACATACAATTAGCCAAGGTTTTTTGTTAAGAACTGACTGCAATTAGGTCATAAAAGAAAACACTCACTCCTTGGCAGTGCAGGTAGTCCACAGTCTTGGCTATAGTAAATAACACAGCACTAGCCTCTCGCTCCGAGAAGAACTTCTGCCTGAGAATTCGATCGAGCAGCTCTCCTCCTTTCATCAGCTCAGTGACAAGGTATATGAATCTACCATCGTCGTACACCTGCAGAAAAATAACAAGCACATGCGAGTGTACAAATGTATTTTATACTTTTATATATATAGTATGTGTGTATATATCTCACACAATACATACACACCATACAAGTTCATCCAAATCTCTTATAATGACACAGCCTGAAAAGCATGAGAACGACAGGCTCAATCGTGGACCTAGTCATTTACATGAATATATAAAGCACAAACAGGCACTGTCATATTTAGTTCTACAATGGAAGAGTCTGACAGCATTAAGCAGAAAAAAGCTTGCATGTCACTCTGAGATGCAGAGATAATAGATTACTGAAGCATTGAGTCAGAACTAAATTTCTGCAGTCTAGGAACTTTTGTMAAAAGAAGAGACTAGCTCTATTTCTCCCTATGCTTCTTCCCCTGCACAGRGTATTTTTAGCTGCTGGCACTTTGCATATACATGACAATATGTAACTRCTTGTTCAGCATCCGATTACCAATACATTAGCTGGTAGTATTCRAAAGGAAAAGAAGTGAGACAATCTCTAAAAACAGCATCATTTCTCACTTCAAGTTCATTAATATTTGTTCACTAATATCGTTCTGCTACTTTTCCAGATGCTCACGAAGCCTTCAGGATGAGCACAATGAACGAGATCTTAATTTCAAGCTCGGAAGTGACAAAAGAAYTTCTGGAAGAGCAGGGCAGGCAAAGAAAACCTTAGTGAAGTTGTCAGTCATAGAATTTTCCTTCTTTCATTCATCCCCCTGAAAGCCTTTGGTAGAACAGTTTAAACGGAGGGCAAAATTTAGTTTCAAAAGTTTTTTTTAACTTCCCTTTTTTGCAAGGGTAGCTATGGGGAGGATTGAAGCAGAGAATCTTAGGAGATTAAAAGAACATTCAGGAGATTAAAAGAACATTCAGAAAAAGAGTAATATCAAGATTAATGGTATATTTTGAAATACTTCATATACTACGTGTGGGATTCTCTGAACTCATTTTGCTGAGAAACATGCAACCCCAAAACACCACTGTACAACTGTGTGTAGAGTGACTATTGGGTAACAGGAGGTGGTAGAGCAAAAGAGAGGTACGTACATCTTTCAAAGTAATGATATTTGGATGCTGTCCATAGCGCATCAAAATCTCGATTTCTTCTGAGGGATCCCTCTTACTTTTATCAATTATCTGTAAAGAACAGTAACAGGAAAAAATCTTGGCTAAGCAAAGTCTATGTCATRAAGAAAACTTTTGAAAAATTATATTCTCACTTTAGCAGGTGAATCAAAGTTTTATGTGTTCGTCACTTGTTATTAATAATGACTAATTTACCTACAAATTTCACATCTTATAGTCTTATTCGATCATTACTGAATCATTAGCAGCACAGTCTATGCTCCTCCAAAGGACAGTGACATTCACTGCACTGCCTGACACGCCACTGTGTCCCTGCAGCCAGTTCCACCCCCATAGATCTCTTATTTGACTTCAGGTGTGTTCACTGTTGTTTTATACTCTCAGCTTCCACCTTAGATATTTAAAGCCAGAGCACTTCATAGGTTCCACACACAGTCCTTCAGCAACTCAACTGCTACCGTAACGACAGAAGACAATACACAGTCCCACTGAAAGAAAATTGTATTTAATTTCTCACAGCATATAAGCAGCTACACTATCTGAAAGGGAGTGAATAAAAAAGTTACTGACCCACTGCATAAGTTTCAGAAGTGTCAAAATAAAATTCATTTCAATACCTTTACAGCAAACTCCATATTTGTAGCTATGTGTATACATCGCTTGCAGACAGAGTAGGAACCAACACCAATATCTTCCTTCAGTTCATAGACATCAGTAAACTGGGCACTGTTTCCATGAAGTTGCTTGGAAAAACAAACATGCACAAGCTGTCAACTCAAGCAACAAACTGCTCTTTTCCATACCACTACTGTAAGCACAAGTTGCTTCTCCTTGCCCATGCTTTTACTTTTGAATTTTGCCCACRGAGAAATAGAAGAACTACTTTCTTAAACATCTGGAATGAAACTTTTCTGCGAAATTATTTTAATAATACACATTCTATAATAGCCTTACTACCAAAACAGCAAATACTAAATATTGGTCAATTTGGGGCATTTCAAGGAACCGGTTCATTTAAAAATAAGTGTTACCTGGACTATTGGCAGTATATTGGTGAGTGGTGACATTTTATGATCTTCTACTGTCGTAGTTGCAACAAAACTAAATCCTTTGAAGAGCTGATGTGCATTTGCACTGGGTGGGACTCCTGGAGAATCTAATTGCACACACATTTGATTAGCATCACACACTTGTATCCCAGCAAGTATTTTTGCTTTAAAACATCCACAACAAGTGCGTCCAAAGAAACACTTGGGGGGAAAGGAGATGAGCAAAACAAAGCTAGACAGTGAGTAACATTTCTATCAGTCACCTTTCTAGATTCTCTTACTTCATTATGGACACAAAAGTGTTCCCGTGTTTCATTTAAGGCTTCAAAGCATCATTTAAGACTTCAGAAAAAAAAAGAACATACACACAAACGCAATTCGATAAGAAAACTAAGAGCACAGCCTAATGTTCAAAAAGAGCACTCTAGAAACATCAACTTCAGTGATGTAACGTGCAGATATGGCAAAAGRTAATACCTAGTTTTAAATACTGGACGCAACAGTAAAGATAACATTCCCAAAATAAACTCTGGRCTGAACATACGAGTGCTAACATGGATTGCTTAGCATGTCTCAGCTCTAAGTTCAGTTACCARCATATTTTCATACTGCACGAATGTCTAAGAGATATTTCCAAAACAATTTCTTAAACTTCTCTGAAATTATTTGTGACACCTYGGAAATTGGGCCAGGCCAACCGACCAGACTGACACAGGCCACGCTGCGACGGTTCCCCACGCTTCTCTCCTTCCACAGTAACACTCCCCCTTGCTCCCCAGAGTAAAGCCAAATTCAGRATGGTTGGTGGGTGGAGGAAAGGCTCAATGAAAAGTTATTATAATGTTAATTTAAGATTTAATTTTAATAATAATGATGAATAGGCTCAAGAAAGTTACTTAGAGCAAGTCATTTTCAGAGGAACAGTGATCTTTAATAAGCGCTTTTGCAATCAAGTTTAGTTTACTTTCAGTACTAAAAAGATTTAATATATATAAAGCACTGCATTAAAAAGCTATTAGCGCATTTCTAACTTTGGACCATAACTAAGAACCTCCATCTCAGCTGCAGTTATTCTGCCTTTTTTTGTGAATGGAAGTTTAACAGGATATTTCGCTACATTAGAAAACCCTCTCCTGAACAGTATCGAAATGTGTTGCAAATCGTGTCAGGGGCTTTTTCCTCCTGCAGACAAAAGGGAAGCTAATACTTGAGATTCCCATTCAACAAATTCTACTAGGTATTGCCAACAAGAGGAAAAGCAAACCCGGACAGATCAAGGTATTAAGATTAAGCCCTCTTCCTCTTTATAGCAGTTAGACTTGTCCTCTACTTCCCCTGCCTTTGCATCTGGGTAAGCCTCAGTTAAAAGGAAGAAAAAGAAAAAAAGAGAAAAAAAATGTATATTTTGATATGTCACAGGGACCTCTAAGATGGTCTTAAGTTTACATATTTTATATTTTAAATAAAATTCAAAACATCAACCATTTGAATTTTCCCTTTTAATTCACAAATAACAAAAATACTAATTTGTCTAGCTGTGAACCTCATCAATTCGTAACCAGAATACTGACAATTACCTTTTGGTGTTTTTGCTGTGAATTCTGGATCAAAACAAAAAGTATCTTCTGGTTTTCCAGAAGCAGGTTTAAAYGGAGGTTGAATTTCTCTTCTGAATAGTTTCTGAAATAAGACACAGGTATATTAAATAGTGAATTAAACTTGCACAGGCTCTGTAATACTGCCCAGCTAAAAGACAACTCAAAGAYCATTGTTACGCTCTCAACATTTGAGAAAAAAATTTAATATACAGAAAAAAGCACAAACACATTTGCAAAAAAGGGTTTCCATGTACTTTTTATTTGAAAAAGCTGAGCAAAGGAGATGTTACCAAGCAAGTCAAAAATGAAACATGACATGTTTACTTCTTCTGGAGCTGCAGGATCTACTAGCTCTGTACTTTCTAAGGTGCTGGGGTTTATAAGGGCCCCATCAACTCACCTTCCACTTATTACAGAGAACGTGGMACAGCTACTGTGCATTTTACCTTCTATCATCACTTCAGACCCGGGTCACTGCTGCTTAGGAGAGCTGTCAGTATCCTGCAAAGTCTGCCCCAAAGGGAAAATACAGAACAGAGTCTTTACGCCTTCCTGCTCTGTGCAGGCTCGTTCAGCCAATTCTCCAGACTCTTCTAGTGTTTTCCAAGCTCTGTGAGCTGGGAAGGGAGAGGGGGGGAAAAGGAACAAGCGCTCYGCTCCTCTCTCTACTTGAGAAGAATGTTTTGCCCAAGAGACATCAGCAACGCGAGTCTCACGGCAGACCACATCACGAGAGCTGTCCCTAATGGCTTGGGAACGTTTTCTCAGTACTTCTCTCAGCCAGACCTCTTCCCCCCCACCTTGTTCTTTTTATTTAGTCTACCTACACAAGAACTAGCAACACATCTCAATCCTAAAAATCAAAGCAAAGGGACATGAATTCATCCCTAAGCAGTAATAATTATTTAATCATGTAAATAAAGAATAAAATAAAAACAAATTCTTCTGAGGAATTCATTAAGGTAGATGCTAAATTAACACTGAAGTAACCCTTCTCAGAAGTAAATACAAGAAATAAGGAGGAGTACAAAGAACACTTTAAAGGAACAGTTAAGAAGAATACAATTAGCACGGAGAGTTGTGACAGCAAAGAAATATCCTGTTCATTCTGAGGTCTTTTTATGAACATTATAGGAAAGGTTTTCAGAGAGGATTTGCCATACAGTATTTTGGCTTTCTGAATATTTCTGAGCAGCACCTCAGACGTGGAGATCCACAATGGAAACGCATCAAGATGCTTGTTAAAAATTTAACTAAGCAAGCCCTAGACTCCTGATCATCTCAGAACCCTCGAGTCAACACTTGGCTGCGAATAGGGCATGACTGATGTGGCAGGAATACGCTCCAGCTCACGCCAGCCAAGTCCAAGGGAATTACAGTCACAGGGAGCATCCGTGCCCTGTACGGCAGCATAAGGCACCTGCAACTCCATTTAAAAAGCAAATGCACTATTTATAATTGTTTTAATACTCCTGGTATGACAAACACTACAGCTCAAAAGATGAGTAACATTATGGTACAAAATGGAACACAACAGCCAGCTATTCAGATATAAATACTTATGTGACAGCACAAAAACAGTTATCATTCATATCGTTCTGTACTTACATTCCAGTCAACAGTAGAAAAAAAAGGATGTCTCTTGATTTCTTCAACTCCATCTGAACCAGCTCCTGAACAAAGAGAATACTGTATTTTAAACATGCTTGGCTACAGACTCTGAACATGATTGCACTAAAAATGAGCTTTTAGGGTTTTTTAAACTATTACATAGACACAGTTATTCATAATTAATCATACACATTGAGATATTCCAAGGGTGCTACCCCCTTGAGTGTACACSCCAGCAGGGAGGGGAATCGACGTGCAGGAAGCTCAGAGTCTCAGCAGGGCTTTGCTCCGACACCGTCGAAGTACAAAGCAGTGTCAGAGCATCTCTCACAGCGAGACCCATAACAGCTCCCTTGAAAACCGAGGCTATGACAAGGATTTAATTAAACGTATTAAGTGTACACAGCTCACTCAAATTGAGTGAAAGAAAGCTCAATGAATTCGAACTTCTGAAGATTCAAGCAGTTCACAAGACAAAAAGAATGGATTTTAAGACCCAAAGTCTACAAAGTCTTACTAATCATCAACACCAGGGCTGGAGTTTCCAACCCTCTTTCCAGTGAGYGTTTCCTTCATGCAACAAACTCAGCCATTGCATTTTTATTCCAAAGATCTAAATAAATTAACCAACCTAATCTATTTGATGGGTTCCTTTTAAACAGCATCCTCAGAAGACTTTGTGCCTCCGGGCTGAGGAACTGAGGCATTCCCAGTTTTGCTCTATGGAAAAACAAATAGTCAGAGCAATGTATCTCACTAAAAATGTCTATGCTAACTTAACTGAACAATTCAATCTAACAACAATCTGTTCTGAAGTCCTGGTCAGTACACATGTTTTAACTTCATAGCTTTTTGGTTTCACATTATATATGAGCAATTTTCTAATTTAAAAAAATATATATTTTCAGAGTTCATAACAGCAGTAACTTCTCATAAAAACAGTTTTTTACCGGAATCCAGTCCAGAGGAAAGTCACTAAATCCCTAAATCCTTCTAAGATTTACTAGCCCCTGAAGCTCCTCCTGAAGGATGAGCTAACTCAGCAAGTAGCTCTTTAAGTCATTAAAAGACTGCTGCACTTTATCAAATTTATTTTATGAGAAGAATTACACTAAAGCCAGGTATTTACATGCAGAACTGAATATTACACCATCTCCCACAGGTAATACCCAAATAAGCTTGCATTTGTGGTAAATTCAGACTGCCTTATGTCATTAAGAGAGCTTTCCTTATCTCCTCTCAGATACTGAAAGGGCCAAGGCTCTGCCTGTGGTCTAAATGAAATTCTTTTAGCTAAGCATAAACGGAGACTGATACCTGTTTGCCAAACAACTTCACTTAATAATCACCAGTTTATCCAGTTTGTCTCGTTAGGCAGCTTGTGTTGTAACTGAGGTAATTGGAGATGGAAAATGCGAGCACTTAAGTAGGCTCTCATAAATATATACACATGACTATTGCTTACAAAATAACGTATGCTGAAACAGCAGGAAGACAGCAAAGTGGTAAATAATGCTTTGCTAATCCCCTGTACTGTTCTTAATCTTAATTATATATCTTTCTTATAAAGTGCAAGTGCAATTTGCACCTTACAATTTTTGGTGGGGGGAGCTTTCTGGCTTCTTTTGGTTTCCATCCTAGTCATAGTGTGCTCAAGCAAAAGGAGCTACAACAAACACGTTTAAAAATGCATTTATCTGAATTTCCAAAAAATAAGAAAATATACTTACTTCAGTATCATATTCATAGTTTCATTTCGATCTTTACCTTGAAATGGTAGCGTACCAGTAAGCATTTCAAACTGAAAAGAACAAATGTTAATCTAAATCAACATTTTTCCTCCCAGTTGCTTTAAGTGTTACATACTGTACTCCTCCATATTGCTACATTTGACATTGAACTCAAGATATTAAAAAGTTGAAATAAAAAATTGCCTTCATAGACAAATTACAAGATAACAGAAACAACAGAAGTAATGTAATGATGTAGGAAGACCTTACAGCTAAAGTTTGAAAACCCACTTACATTACAGAATCATAAAATCTCCTCTATAACCTAGTTTTGTACATYGCTGAATTAGGAAAGGAGCAAGAAAAAAAAGCAATTCCCAAACAGTATTCTCCTTTTAATTGTAGTGTCAGTGTGGACACTTCAGGCTGATGGTCTACACCATTAAGCCATCCTTACTGCCAGCATAAGAGAATGGCAAAGGCACGAGGGCTGGCATTACTCATTTTACTCTTCATTCCATGGGCTTACTTGTACAAAAATCAAAGTTGCATCAAAAACCAAGCCTTCTGTGAGCTTTTTTTTTTTTAAGCTTAAATACCACATGAAATACATACAAACTGAAGTTTCACACTTATTTAGGAAATGCCTTCATTTCAACTGCTCAAAATATTTAAAGATATTTAATATCTCTGACATTACTATTAAATATTACTAACTATTTAAAATCTCTGACATTACTAACAAGTACTCTTTCCAGGGCCACGCAGGTGAAAGGCAGCTGTTGCTCACATTAACTGCTCTTTCAGCAGCAACTCAGTCAGCAACTCCTCTCCTCCCTTGGCCCAAGGACCAAATGCTTAATTAAATCTGGAATTAGTCTAAGCAGGTTATTTAACCTCCGCCCRGGACACTGGGAGCATGTTTGCACGCTCTAAGCAGGGAAGCAAGGGAGCATACAGTACCATGAGCACGCCAAAGGACCACCAGTCTGCACTCTGGTTGTGGCCTCGCCTGTTTACCACTTCAGGTGCCATGTATTCTACCGTACCACAGAACGAATAGGCCTTCTTTTCTTGGTCTACTGATTCTTTGCTGAGTCCAAAGTCTACAACAGCAGCACARGGAGAGAGCAAGTGAAGAGCTTCAGAGGCAGCTTAGAGCAAACCCAACGCAAGAGGGGTCTGGGGACTGATATCTAGGGACGTCAGATCTATACGTACTGTACATCAAGCTACTTTAAATCATTAATCAAAGCACCCTAAAGCATTAAATTGAGGGCAGGCAACCAACACTTGCTAGTCCAAATGTAAGCAATTCAATAGTTAAAAATGTTATATTGGGGCTCTAAATGCAAGAGTTCTCATTTTCTCTGTTTGTTAGAACATGCTGCCCACTTTATTAATGCAAAAAAAAGGGATACAAGTGAAAGCGAGTTTCAAAGAGAACACAATCTGCATGGTCTGATATTACTGAATGATGAATAAGTAAAGTCAGGCTAAAAATAATGTTGTTACATAAGGCAACATGCTTCTGCAACCTGAATCACAAGTTCAGTAGAGAAAAGTCTTGCGTGTCTGCTCGTTTTATCTTCAGAATAGGTTTCCCCCCCTTATTTAAGCAGGGCTATTGAACAGAGGTTTTTGATGTCAGCCCAACTCGCCAGATGAGGCTCAWGGTTCCCTTTTGCAGAGGGAAAGGTATTTCTAATGATTAATCCTCTCAGCTGCTCTTTTCACTTTCAGAAGGAAGTGAGAATTTAAGGATTCTTCACTGATCCAGAAGGCTGAGAAGCGACTTCCAAGACCAACAGGGATGGGGAATGATGAAAATCCCCCAAACTACTCTCTCATTTTATTTCAAGTGGAATTCAATTTGAAAAATACCATGCAGAATTTTAAAAGTTGTTATTTAATCAACATTTCCTACATTTTCTACTCCTTTTAAGCATTTGTGAATAACCGCCCCCCATCAAAGTTTCTACATGACACCAGCGATAAAAAGAGGTGGAAAGCAATTCAGATGCTAAAGATGTCCAAGAGAATGTAAGTAGAAATCAAATATTTTAATGTGGAATTAAATGCTTTATGTTTTTAAAGAAGCCTCACAACTTAAACCAACCTTCAATATTTATAATTAATGAATATGAGGTCACCCCATGTTAGAAAATATCTGGCTAATAATCATCTGTTTACAAGACTCCTGTGCCTACATATTGCAATAAGTTTGTGAGATTTTTAAAGAGCTTTTCACACCAAAAATAACCCCCTGATCTTCATCTAAAAGGCATTTAACAGTCCATCTCAATACAGGCTAATTTTTGACCTGAAGAGTGGATTTGGTTTTAGTTATTRAAATGTCACTTGAACTAACCTGACCTCAAAGGAATCAGCTTGGACATAAGGATCTGCTAAAGGACTACACTGACTCTTAAGATATTGGGTACTTCAATAAAAGCACCTAGTGATAGATAAAAATCAGTTGAACGAAAAGGGACACAGATTTGTTATAAGACAGAAATAAAATACTTTCTAAGCAGCTAAAAACAGTTTTTATTCATACTCCATCACCACAAATTTATGCACAAATATTAAAGGGCTAAGCTAATAAATGTTACCTACCTGTTAACTTGATATGTCCTGCTTCATCAAGCAAAATGCTGAAAATTAAAATTCACATTCACCAACAGGAATGTTTACATACAACATACAAAACATAACAGTTAACTCGAATCTCCTCCAACAAAAATACATCCGTTGTCTCAAGTATAATAATATTGTCTTATTACATGATTTTGAAAAATAACTATTTTATGTATCTTACAAATCAGAAATTTAATCTTACAAATAAGAAATATTTTTTTTTTTTTTTTTTTTTACATCTTTAAAATGGAGAATGCAAAGCAAAGTACACGTAATAGTGATAAAATACATTTTACTTTACTTTTCTGGCTTCAGGTCCCTGTATACAATTCCCAAGCTGTGAAGATGATCCAAAGCAAGGGCCAGTTCTGCGAGGTAGAATTTCACATCTTCCTCTGTAAACATAACCTAATAAGAACTGTATAGATTTACCTTCTGATCTTGTCTTCAGTTTTTAAAACTGTAATCTAAAAGAAAATACTTCTGTCTACCTAGATTTAAAAACAACTTTAACATGAAGCTTATTCACTGATAAAACCCATGGATTTGCTAGCAAAAATAATACGCAAGAATGGGCTAATCATCAAGTATTCAAGAGAATTAACCTTAATGCTTAAATTAAACAAAGCTTTAAGTTTAATTATATTTAGTCTTGCCCACCACCAGTGCTCCTTCTGACACTATATCCTACACAGACTGCAGTGGAAAGCACTGGTAGTCCACATTGTAAAATTTGATAAATAATTCCCTTTATTGGGACAGTCTCCAGGTTGACTGTCCCTTTGAATTCACATTATCAATATTTAGTGGAAAAAGAATGAAACAGTGAACGTAATCACRTAAAAAGCAGCAGTAAGAATGGAAGGAAAACATACTCTGCTCTTTTCAGGAAAGGAAAAGAAATCAAAAAAAACCATCCCCTGACACGTACACCACTAAAMAACCCTCTGAAATATCAAAGAACCATCTGCTCTTGCATATAGGACACTTCATAAAGCTAAACTTCTGCCCCATATGCTAAACAGGTTGCTTTGGTTCTTGTCAGGTTCTACAAATCACCAGAGAAGCTAATAATCTTTACAACTCCAATTTCAAAAAATCACACATATACAGAATTATTATTCTTTTTTTTGAAAACACCAGGACTAAGGAGAAGAAACACCTCAACTGCAYAGCAAATGGCTAACAAAGCTTCTCTATAAATTAGGGTAAATGGACTTARATGATTTAGAAATAGACTGATTAATTCTTTGAACTGCACATCAATATGTACTCCGTTTTACTGGTAACAAGAAATATTCCCAATTTCCATAGTAACAAGAATTAGTGTTGTGTGAACAACAAAGCTGTTACATAAAAGAAACAGCACAAAAAGTTTCACCTTAATTTTCTAGGAGCAAAGTTGATATTGCTTTTATCTACATAAAGCAGAAGACAACGAAAACTTGGGTAGTGTTTGTCTGGGAAGAGCAAAATGCAAATCCCAAAGAGATGATGAATGGTGATCTGCAGTTTTACAGCGAAAGCTTCATTTAAAACTACCTTATGTCCTGTTATACTAGAATTTCTCCTACATATATACAATTTCAAAGCAAAAATTGACCTCTTGCTCACATAATGTTTCAAAAGCATTAGTTATTATTAATTTAATTATGATTTTAATAGCTCATAGTTAGTGAATTTAGTCCTCTGTTCTACCAAGGGCAGCTAAACTCCACCTCCCCCAATTCTTCCTTCTCTTTTGCCTGTTCCTGAAATTAAATGGGATATTTTAAAAATAAATATCAAAAAAATGAAAACCTAGTTCATGTCTTGCAGATATGGGGGGGTAAAACAGCCTCCTTCATCTCAAATAGAGCTCAGGTACCCAGCTCTGCCATATTAGAAAGTTTCTTTTTCAATGTATTAGAAATATAAACATCGACATTCTAGTTTAAACATCAAAAAGCTCTCTTACTGTCAAGTAGTTAGAAAAATTAAATTAAAAAGAGCTTTATGAAAGGTTGGCAGAAAAGAAAAAAAGCACTTACAAATATATTGCCAATACTTAACCTAAAATAGGAGTGTGTGATGACAAATACTTGAAAATAAATAAATAAATAGGCTGCATCATATTCTCTGCCCTGAAGCTGCCTCTCCAGAAAACAAAAATAGAAATGAAACTGTTCCAACAACATACCAAGACTAGGTAGAGGGGAAAGAACGTCTTTAAAATAAGCAAAATTCTCACTTGGTGAGATTTATCGTTAAGACTTGTATTATAACATCATGAATTTTTAAACTGTAAAAGAAACCTTATAAATACGGTCTTTCATGATCATCTGAACTGACCATGATCTTTGTATATATTTTTTTTTGCTAAATCTTAATGTACTTCAGCTAGGTTTCCAAGCAACAACACACTTTTAGGCAAAAGAATGGGTCTATGTAGATATTATAAAGGGAACAGTCTAGTTATCAATATTTATTGATGATATTTCTTAAGGTTGTAGCCCATTATTCTAGAGCACATGGGAAAAGTTATTAAAAGCTTGACTGTGACTAGAATTATGGCAAGCAACTATAGAAAACAACTTCATATTGACAAAAATAAGACAAAATGAAAACCCCTGTCTAACACTGAGCTGATATAAAATTGCAGGTACTTACCTCTTTGGATAATCGTGTGAATACATCTCCTCCCCTGAGAAAATCCAATATTAAATATAGCTTCCCTTCAGTCTGAAAGGCTAAAAAAAAAAAAAGAAAAAGTGCCATGTGATAAAAATGGTCTAGTGAAACAGATGCTGAATGCCTCTACAATTTGAGTATTTTAGTATAATAGAATACTTTGATTTTGCAACTCATAATTCAGACRCATGTGACAAATCTACATGAATTACTCAATTTTATGAATGATTTCTTGCTTCTTCACAGGAAACGATCTTAGTCTTCAGAGATTATTAAATACTGCTATTTCTCCTATGCTAACCAGAAAAGACCCTGATGCTTCTCAATTATTGTATTGTGGTTTTACTCCATGAAAAGCAAAAGCTCTAGAAAATTCTAAATAGTTTTGCTCACAATTTTTAAGTACAGTGCATTTAATCTATGAATCTTACACACACATTCATTAAAAAAATAAACACATGGCTAAGAAAGGTAAGAATATTTTTTGCAGAAAGCTGGAAGTCAGTACATTAATTTATTAATTTACTGCAAATTCAATGTATTTCATGCTGATCATATCAGTTTTAAACAGCGGAAACTATTAGCAAAAATTAAAGGCCATCCCTCAATGAGCTAATCATTAGATACCAGTGCTAAAAATACCTATCAATAGAGAATCTGCCTGCAGAAATGACAGGGCAGTTTGCTAATATAAGCACTGCAAAATAAATAGCAGGAAGTTACAGATGCAGACCCTGAAAACCCAAGGTAAAAGTGCCACAGAGCTCTCATAGCACTTTGAATTGTACTTCTAACAAGTTATCAAATATTTATAGTTTTTCTCTTTCATTAAAGAATCCACATAGGCACTTTCACCGGAGCATGAAATCATTTAATGAAGAACTTGCTTTCATATTAACCACAAATGCTTTTACAATACTTCAAAAACATGAATAAGTTGTCTTGCTAACCAGTGCACTGAGAACATGTCTAATTAAACTTTCATATGACCAGCCTAACATGTGCATTGGAAGGAAAGGAAGGAAGGAAGGAATTGCACTGGTAGGAAGACCTGATCGGAACTCCATCCAAATAGAGGGGCCTATAGGTTTTGAAAACATTGCTAGAGATTTACAGTTAAATATCATATATATATTTTCATGCTGGTGGAAAGATTCCCACAGACGACAACTGAAGTGTCAAGCTGCTATATCTATATTTTATATGGATTTGCTCTATAGTTTCAAACACACCAGTGGTCTAAGAATCTTAACACAAAATCATGGAAGTAAAAAAATGGTTGGCCTCAAGCAGAAAAACACTGGCCCTGTTACATTCTGCAGARGTTAGTTCAGAAAAGCTGACAGACTTCTAAAAAAATAAAAAAAAATAAAGTCACATTCTGTCATCAATTGCCATCAATGCAGAACACTTCCCTATACAGCCTGGTGTGTTGATTCATTTTGGAAGAGGGCAATATCTGTCAGTGTCTCATTTTCTTGTTCTTCAAACACTATTCTCCTTACTCTTCTTTGGATTAGCTACGTGCTCTTTCTTCGCTTTATTTCACAAAGCTGTGGTTTAAGGCACACTCCAATATCAAAATTGGCAACAATTTCAAGTAAGGAAAAGGTTTAGTAAAAAATAAATACCAACCATAGTGCAGTTTGACGATAAAGGGATGATTAACTTCTACTAATATATCTCTCTCCATTTTTGTACGAACTCTATCTCGAACTGAGAAAACAAAAATAAGATCACAATTAAAAACGGTATGTATAATACAAATGCAGTCCAAAAAATACAGAAAGTTTTAACTATTTAAAGAATTATTTTCTCTGTTACTCATTTCATTTTTCCCACAAAACCTGTTTTCAGGCAACAAAATTATATGTTGTTCCTCACCCATGCTAGGTTTGTCTYCATTCTTAACATATCATTTTAAACTAAAATTTTCTAAAGACTGAAAAATAAAAAAATACTACGTTACATAAATCCATATTTGATTTAAGATCACTTTTGCCTCGCTATCTAGGAACGTTCCATGTTTTTACATAGTGGAGTTGCCTGCATTAAAGARCCTTGCAGAAGCCAAAAAAATCTCAAATCCAAACTTACAATTTAGTCTAGAAAAATATATGGCATCAATGAAAAACCATGAAGCCATTGAGAAATGAGACGTAAGATAGATACTTTTTAAAATAGTTGAAGAGATGCACATAYCACTGAAAAGCTGTTTTTTAAAGATGCACATACCTTTTAAAGATGCTTTTTTCAAAACTTTCATTGCATAAAGCTGCCCAGCATCAGGACCAATTATTTTCCTTACGAGGAAGACCTAGGAATATAAATGCCACATTTCAACTTGCCCTGCCGCAAGTATTTTGTGTGAGCACCAAAACAACCTGACAAAACTGCCCGGGGCTGCTCGCGCTCACACTAACAAACTTGTGAGGTTTGAGACACACAACAGGCTACAGTAATGAATTCTGCAGGAGTGGTGAGACAGGAGCAAGGAAATCTCTCCATCTAAGGAGAAAGGACCTTTTTCCCTCTGGAACAGTAATCCCGACAGGATTTCCTACCTTTTTTTTTTTTTCCCCTCTCTTTCCAGAAGATGTTTAAAAGGCACACATTCCTAAACTAATGTAATCTAAGCCCGTCTTGAGCAGACTAAGCCCTAGAACGTTACCAAAGGAGCTAAATTAACAGACTGGAGGTTTAGCACTACTTCACAGCAGCCAAGTATCAACAGGGAGACAGGGGTTGTAGCACTGCTGGGGTGGAGGAAATAAACAACAGGACTGCAAAATTCCCAAGGGACATCCTTGGGAAATGTGAGCTGGAGAGAGCAACAAACATCACAAAGGATATAGCCATYCATCCGTTCTGCTTGTTTGCTCTTTAAAATAGAAAACAGTAAATATTATATAAATACAGCTCTGTTCAGAAGTGCTGTAGCTCCAGTACATAGGTTTGCACAGGTTTGTTCCTGCCTTAAGAAAGAGCAAACCAGAAGAACAGACTAGACAATCAGCCTTATATATAATTTCCAAAGAGGGATTTTATAGATGTTGCAAGATTGACCTAGGGTGTTTTAAAAAATAAATTAGCTAGTTATATGTTATGATTAATATTTTAATTAGTGTTTCAAAACCACGTGTAAGGCATTTCATTGTTAATTTCACTCTGAAGCGTAACAACAAGTAGCATATTGCAAAAAAAAGGTAGTTACTATAACAGAAAAGCCACTTCTATAACCTATTGGAGTAATTTTTCGCTTAGTGTCTTTAGCTGTAGGTAATCATCTGAATACAAGAAATTAAAACACTGTAGTGTCAAAAACAAGTAGTCAAACATTCATACTGTGTCAAGTACAATAATTAAGAGAAATATAGATATATTTCAATATACAATGATTAAGAGAAATATAGAAACTACGATGTCTTAAAGTAYCTACCCATGCTCATTATACAACTGGTAGCTCCCAAGCACCCATCTAAACTCAAGAAGATGGAAGACTATTTTGGACACAAGACGAAATCAAAGTTTGGATCTTACCTTTCCAAAGGATCCCTGACCAAGAACCTTAAGTAATTCAAACTGTGCTGGATCTGCTTTCTCACATCCTTCTTTCACATGATGGGTAATGGGAATTTCTTTCACACTTCCCTCATCCTATTAGGATTATTTTAAAAGAGCAGAAAAAAAAAAAAGGAGTTCAAAATTAATCCTCTTACACAWTTTTTTATTCTTCTACATAAAATACCTGAAATGGTAGCGAGGCCTCCAGAAAGCTGTACAAACTAAAAAACAATTTTCCATGCTTTAAAATAGCTGCATGTCTAAAAATTCAAAACTGCAGTCAAAGTCTCATGCAGCTGAATAAAGCTCAATTCCTTTTGCTGTAAATCCCACAACTAAGAATAAGCTTTTTTGTATGAAAGGAATAAACTCAGATTTTTAAACTAAACCCAAGATGCTCTTTCATGCTCCACCTTTATTTCTCRTGCCTTCAGTTTTCCTGAGGACAGCTTTCCTCATCTTTCTCTTGCCYAAGCTATTCTTAATGAAAGCTAAACCAAATTTCATCACTTTAAGTAATACTTGCTGCTGTGAAAAGCAATCAGTAAATACATCATTTAGCACTGTCGCAGCTAAAGGAACGTGCATCATGTGAAGAGATATGAGTCATCTGAAGAACTTAAGATTTCCTTCATCTGAGTTGCAGCACTCATGGAAAGACGATATAGTTCCAAGTCCTTCTTCACAAAGAAGAGTGCAACGCTATGGCAAAAGAGATTTAGGGTTCTGCTGATTTTTGCCTGTTACTCTAATCTCTTGCAAGATAGGGCACAGCAGCTATTATGAAAGCACAAATATCCAWGATTAAAACAAATCAGATGATATATTGCAGCTCTGTAAAGTTTATGGTGTATGAAAGAAACTTCTGGTAGCCAAAATAACCAAGAWGTTGAAATAAGGGTCCTTTTGTGTTAAGGCCAACAACCACAACCTGAGCTTCAATGTGGGGCAGGAAGGCAATCCCTCTGCCCTGTGGAAAATACCAATTTCTCGTGCAGAGAAATTACAATGCAATGACAGCTAAAAATCCTGCCCAATTTGCACTACCTTCCACATCTTTAGGGAATCCAGGTTGCTACTAACTGTCTTCTCCTTAGTTCTTCACCTCAAAGGTACTGTTTTACTTTTGTGTAGGAAAAAAATAGCTGATACTAATGATACCTGGTCTAAATTCCAATTTAATTTCAACCATCCACTCATCCATCTGACTATGTTACATGTAAAACATACTTATCCCATCCATCTTTTAACTTGGAATTTAAGACAGGTGAAAATACTAGCATTGTTAGTCCCTGATGACAGACAGCAGCAACTCCTCTCTTACACACTAAGTTGTACTATAGTCTTAACTGTAGAAAAAGGTGAATACTCTATTAAGTGGCCTTTTTATTTGAATATTTTAATCTGTATTCCCTACCACTGTGAACCTCTGCATGAGGGGAGATCTTTAAGTTACCTGCTCTTTTGTTTATCACCCACCTTGAATCATTAGCCTGTGACATCACATCTGGTTGCTGTGGAGACTGATAGAGTATTTCTAAATGTGAACTGAGGAGAAAAATGTTTTCCATGCTAATAAAGAATAACTTGAGATATGTATTAAATGAGGGTTTTTTTTAACAAGTTTTAGCTTTATAAAAGATGTTTATGTAACTGCACCTACTTAACTGCCATTAAAGTGCTAGAAATTGCCATGACTGAAGTATAAAAAGATGTCAGGATCATCAACAAGGAATGAACAGGCAGAGTTGAATGGAGATTATATATATATATACAAAAATGTGTGCATGTGTCTATGTGTGTGTCTGTGTGTGTGTATATATATACACTAAAAAACAGTTTCGTTTACATTTCTTGTTGAGCCTCCATGAATTGCAAGTTTGGATACTTGTGCACTTTGAGCTTTTTGCCATCTTTCTTAGATTAAACTTGACTGGTTTGTCAGTGGTAGACCRATACACAACCTGCTGCTCCTCTTTAATTCACAGTCACACTGATGAGCCACTAACAAAGATCAAGGGTACTTACATGGTAGGAATATGGTTCGCCTTCTTCCATAGGCTCATCTGCCATTTTAAGGCCATTCAGCTGGAGAAGGGAATGCAGAAGAGAAAAAGAAGAAAAAGAAAATGAGCAACATTTGGGCCTGTTTCAAACAAGTGCAAAAGTTCTTCACTTAATAGAATTACATTATAAAGCACATAAACGAAATKAAGGGGTTTTGCTGTTCTATTTCTAAAACTGCAGTTTCAAACAACAACAAAATACTACTTCACTTAGCACATTCCTCTGCAAACGCTGTTCCATGGTGTTATTTAATTTGAATTAATTTAAAACACTTCCTCTAAGAGCTACAGATACAATTCATAAAGGAAGACACTACCATAAATGCCTCCCTTACAAAATCATTGTTGTAGACGTTTTTGAAAATCTAAATTCTGCTGTTTAAAATTTATCTGAAGTTTAAAGAGAAAAAGTTCTAGGGTTGAGTTGAGGGGGAAGTAGAAGAGGAGGAGAACATACACATCCCAGTGTGCTCTACATAGCATTTAGGAATGAGTTACCCATTTCCTTTAAGTATTATGTCCATCCGGATAAAAGCAAATACATGCCAGCTTCTTAATTAAGAATACCACTTATCAACTCACAAGCAGCTGCCCTTCCTTCCCCCAACTTTAACAAAAAGATAATTTTTTWAAAAAAAATCTTAAATTCAATCTCCTTAAATAATAATTCAATACAGTCTAACAACTGAAACTTTAAACATACAGAAACAAAAAGGTCATGTTCTGTTTCAACATGTTAGGCATTAATTAAAACTGGAAATATCTGATAAAATGGGTGAAGGCAATTATGGATTTTACCAGTGATAACTGCTAATTTATTTATATGTCAGCTGCTCAGTACATCTACCTTCATGTGGCATAGAACCCCACAAAAAAATTCATATAATGTGTTGTTGGGGAGGGGTTGGGGAGGGGAGGGAAAAAAGGTAATTTGAGCTTCCTCAAAGTTACACAGAAGGTCAAGCAAGAAGTTCTATAATCAGGTAATAACATTTCTTCCTTTGATTCAAAATATACGGACAGTCTAACGTACTCAAAGATGGAATGTGATGATTATCCATATGCAGACGGGTAAAACACAGGACTATAAGGAATGCTGAAAGGCCACAGAGGCCCTTTTAAAAAAAATAACTAAGTAAAAGCAGCAGCCCCACACACAAACACTTGACAAACTGGTAGGGCAGTAGGGACAGGCTTAGGACAGAGCAATGGCATCACGCAAGCAAAACCTCTACCACTTGCTCTGTTTCTTCCGGGCCAACTCTTGATTTCAACTAAATCTAGGAGAAAAATGGACAATTATGCTTGGGGTTGCATCACTAACTGAATATATCAAGCCATTATAACCCCAAAGCTCCAAGGAAACAAACTCCAACCTCATTTCCAGCAGTTCACTGCCACGTGGRTCTCTTACAATATTCCTAGATGACATCCAGGTGCAAATCAGTGTGGARGCCACCAAAGTTTATGTATAAAACCTGCCTGGAACTAGTAAGGCAAAGCCTTTCCACTCTGGATGATCAGAAACAGAATACAGTTCTTCTCCCATAGACGTTCACCAGATTCACACAGCAATAATTTGAACTCAGCGTTTATTTTTCTCTCTTTTAAATATAGTCAACATACTCCAAGCTTTGTTATTTAAAACAAAGACCTTAAAGCTATATATACTAGCCAGTAGAACTGCAAATACACTGAAAACAGTAGCTTATCTCCAGGCAGTTGGATACAGAAAGCTGTCGCTGCCGGAACGGGATTTTAACCCAAAGTCTAGCACGTTATTTGATCTACCCAGTTTCCCAGCGCACAACGCACACACACTTTCAGATTTCTAGGAAATCATATATAGTAAATATTGAATTTTTTTATGACAGGTAATCAAATGTCATCTTAATTAGCAATTTCCTATCATACACTTTTCCCCTTCAATGCTGCTTTTTTTTCCTGTCCAGTCTTTCCATAATAACAAAACTGGGATGTCTGCCAACTTTGGGCCCAATAAATTTTGTATTCAAGTGTGTAAATCTACTTTTATCTTCTGTCATGTGAGACTATACTTTTAGCTCATTGATTTGTGAGCCCTAATTGTCGTTTGCTAAATAAATCATCGGACTGAAAATCAAACCCTAATAGTTTTAAAGAAACCACAAACTTCTTAATTATTCAGTTAAAAAATGTCAATGACAAAAATCAAGTCATTATACTTTTTATAGTTACTTATATTGGCCAGGTTTTAGTAACTGAAAGTGTCCATTCATATATTACACAATATCAAAATTCTTACTCATTTTCTACCTTTATCAAAAGCAAATACAGAATTCTGCGTCTGCAGATGATCAGAACCCCTATTAGGAATTTATTCAAAYATTTATGCACAAACATATATTTAGAACAGAACTATTTTAAACTCAAAGTAATAGCTCACTAAATATCTAGGAACACACAAATTTATCATTGAGAATTAGAAAATACACACACACTTCTTCACAGTGAGCAGGTGAGAGGAGGTGAGTGCCATTATCCAGAAAGATTTTTTCATCCTCAAATCATGAATCGTTCAATACTTCCAATATTTAAGGTTTTCAGTTCATTGTAAAAGTTTGGTTAAACTGAGTTACATTTAGAAAAGTGGCATCAACATTTTCCAAATAAAACTTGGGGAAAGTAATMTTCCACACTGTTGATTAGTATAAATTAGCAGAAGGTACTACATAAAAAACATGAGAACAGAAGCTAAAAGACAAAGGCAAACCAGTAACATAGGAACAGAAATCCCTTACTTTTCCAGAGGTGCCGGCTAAAAGACCCAGTCCTTCAATGTCCAACTGCCTCTGAGGTTGCAGGGTGCAACCTGCCTTCTAATTTAAACTTGCTGCTGTAGCTGCAATGGATCCCATGACTGGCTGGGACTCTACCATATTACCTTGGGCATGTTTCTCCCTCTAATACTTAAGACAAAACAGAGGAAGCCCAGTATTACTAAAGGTTGGAGGCTTTTTTTTTTTTTTTTTTTTTAATATTAAGGATGTTTCAATTGTTTACTTGGTAAATGCTTCATTGTTCGGTGGGTGAAAAGAGATGAGGCAAACTGTCAGCCAAATGCCCAAACACAAGGAAAAACAGTAAAGGTCTTAAAAATCTTTCATTCTGTCCTGTTTTTACAAGATGTCATTTAGGCATTCAAAATGTAAAATTGGAAGGGAAAAACTGAACTAAGAATTTTATAATCATATTATTAGAAGCAAGTAGTATTCATCACTACTCATAGTCTAATTTGCCTTCAAAACAGGTTAAAAAAAATCTACATAAACAAAAGCTTCTGCATCCTCTGAGGTTTTTCCTTCAGTTCACTTAACTTGCTAAGTTAGTCAGCCCCAAATCTTCAGACCTACAGCTCTTATTTCTTCCAAATGAACGAGACAAACCAGCTTCCCCATACAATGTGTGCACTGAAGTACACCGCAGCATCATGAAACATGTAAACCTATATCAGAAACTCCAAATATTTTGATAAGATTGAGAAAATACTTTGAAAAGACATATTGTTAGGAAAATTCAAGTTGTTCCTCGTTTGTTTCAAACTGCATCTGTAGAGAGTTTGCACCATTAATTCAGTTAGCAGGATATCAGCCCACTCAATCTTTTTTCCTCATATCTCCTTGGGAAAGTTTTGTTTTCTGCACACAGGCAAACAGGTGAGGGCTTTTATTAAACAATGCCTACAAGTCACAGTAAGCATAACCGAAGCTTAAAGGAATTTGTTCTTGCTATAAAATACCCATGATCTCATGCAACAGATAACATTTCGAACTATAGCCACTGTTACCGCGCACAGGTGCCTGAGCCAGTCCAGCACTGGATTGTCTGGATCAAACGATCTCCTATAGCGCAACAACATGAGGTGAGGGGCAAAGCAGTGTTATTAGGGTGACAAGACGCTGCGATCTATCAATTAAAGTCGAGGCTGTGTTGAAAGGACCCCTGGAGCTGCTCTAACCCAGCTCCACAGGGCCACAGAGCACAGGCTCCCTGCAGCCTGTCCGGGTAGTTTTTGAGCATCTCCAAGCACGGAGACTCCTCAGCCTCGTGGGACAACCTGCTCCAGGGCTCTGAAGCCTTCACAATAAAGACGTTTTCCACTTGTGTTCAAAAGGGCAGGCAGATCCCTTCCATCATCAGAGATTAAGGGAGAGCTGCTCACATCTCACAGTAGTTATAGTTGTAAAAAGACATAAACCTAGCCATAAACACTGGAATCACCAAGTTAGTAAAGGACTTTTTTTTTTTTTTTTTTGTCCCACCACTGACAAGCTGGGAGAAAACAGTGCTTCCATAATAGAAGGAAGTAAAACAGCACTTCGGAAAGTGGGCTTAATGGTATTTACAATTACACTGGAAAAAGAGTAAGGTTCAAAATTGATACAAACACTGTATTTCAAGTTTCATTCTTAAAGAATCACATCCATGTGAATAGTGAACATCTATGCACTGTGAGTTGATAAATCACAACAAGCTTCTACTTAGAGTTACTGTGGAGTTTCTCCAGAGCTTTCCTGCAGGCGTTCAGGTTGGCTGTGACAGATGGACCACGYCACCTCCCATCCTTTAGGGGACTCAGATCTCCACTGCAGATTTCTAAAAACCACCTTCAAAACCGGCATGCCAAAACACAACTATTACAACACTGCAGCACTTTCCAAGGCATAAAGACACTCATTGTTTCCTGTTCAAGAGTATTAAAAGACGAAAAAAATAAGCACATTGAGAACTGTTTTTCATAAGTCTCTATAAAACCTGCACRTTGTTGCAATAGCTGAGGGCACTTAATTCTCAAGTTACATGCAACTACTATTACTTGGGTTTTTTTGCAGCATAACAGCACCTAACTGTAGGGATGTTCAGAGATGCAAAAAAACTAGGTAGCTGAGTCATCCACGTCACTGCCAGCGATTACTCACAAAGACCTTATGCAACTATGACAAAAACTCAGTGGCCTTTGAAGGACCAGCAGCAAAACACGCTTAAGAAGAAGGACTACAAATGCTGGTGATAATAGGAGATGCATTTATTTGCATGGACATGAAAAAACAATTGATATGTGCAACAGCAGTAATGTTGAACTCATGAGCTTACCTTTAAGGCAGCTGCTTCTAACACGGCCAAGCTTTACAGCAGGATAATTTCTAGTCACTTTGTTAGCCTGGCCTTGTTATTTCCCTGTCAATTGCAGCCTATGAAGCAACTGTTTATTGAAGTATGAATTTTTTCAGGAAATGCTTAAGTAAGAGATTGCAGGTATGCATTTCACAATCCTCATAGGTAGCAAAGAGCATATGTTTTAATAATTAAAACATTTCCCATTTTAAAGCCATACAACACTACTACTATTCAAAACATTGCTACCCTTACGTAAAGGCTATTGTATGTTCTCAGCCCCCCTCCCTTTGCTTCCCTTTATCTCTAGAAACTTCAGAAGGAGTAAGAAAAGTTAAGTATCCATTTTTCTCTCAACTCCTAGGCAGAGAATTCCAAAGTTYCTGTAATCTTCTCAGTTCGAGTATTTTTGCATTTGATTCAACTTGGTCAATAAAGTGTTAAAATTTGCTTTCCTGTTCCTTTGTAGATTGTAGTCACATTTTAATGATCTCTACTATAGTTATTTATAAGCAACACCCTTGCTGTATCTATTTTTATTACCATGAAAACACTTATGCATCCATCCTACATTTAGGAGGAAAGAAGTTCACTCAACATTTGAAGCTTAAACTGCATGACACAGACTCTTCCTATGTTTAAGGAATTCCAAGAGTCACAAAATTGCTTCCCAAGTGACATTTTGTTTGTAGGACTRTAAGAATTCCTAACTAGCTGAGAACTAGGGAGTGTACAGCCAAGAATTTAATTCTCAGCACTTCAAAGAAACTCAACATGAGCAAATGTAAAATAATTAAATCCTAAACTTCTTCCAAAAGTTAATGTTGTTTTTATGCCTTGAAGCATGAAAATTTGTTCCCTACCTTCAAGATCATGTTCTTCTCTTGCCAACTGTTTTCAGTTCATCAATTTGACACAAGTGCTACTTCATTGGAAATGCACTTATTTTTAATAATCTAATTCTAAATTTAGTCAACAGGCAGATTCCCCAGAGAGAATCATTTCTTAACATTTACCTCCAATGATACAATTAATGGACAAGAGCACTAATAAGCGCAAGTAATTTGGCCTTCAAGATGCAGGATGACTATTTCAGCAATATTATTGACTCTGTAGCTGTAAAGGTCAAGGTCACCTAGACRTATCAGATTGCAAATATAAGGTTGCATTAAGCATTGTAAGATACAATTCATTCTAGAACCTTTAAATGAGGAATCTAAACCCAACACTCATTTTAACAAAAAAAAAAAAAAAAATCAACCACTGCTAAATGCCAATAACCAAGTGAAGGGAAACTTCCAAACAAGCCAAAAATGTTACACGCCCCCGAGATCCCTTTAATRTAAATTCATTATGACAGTAATAAGTACTTGCTAATGTAATATATGAACTTCATACGCAACTTGGAGATATTTTGGTATAAATGAAGTCTTGAACGCTGCCAGCCCAAATGCAATATGGATGTAACAAATGTGATGCCCCATTTTAATCAGAGCACAAACAAAACAATTAAACACAAAGACTGTCAAGTAAGTAGTTCGTGCAAACTCAAGGAAAACATAATTTCATTGTCACAAGGAGCTGCCTTCACATGTTAAAAGCATAGAGCTGTTTCAGTTGGACATCCATTGTCATACGCTGCTGACGAGATGGGCAGAACTCAGGTTGGGAAACCCGGATTACTTCCCCTAACCTGAGGAAAGATTTCAATATGACTTACAGCAGTCAACCACGTGGGTGAGATTTGCAGTTCAGAGCTAACAGAGGGACCTCCTTCTCCAGCCACCCTCACTACCTGTTGATGAGATATCTAAGGGGAGGACTGTAGATAGAAGGAGCACAATCACAGTACCTCAAAAGTAACAGCAGCCTTGGCAGAAGCCAAAAAAATACTGAAAAACTGAGGGAAGTGGAAAAATAATGAGAGTTTACACTTTGACAACACAACTTTAAGTATGTTAACACCAGCATATCACATTATTCTTTAAGCAGTGATGAATGGTGCCAGGTGAGTCTTCTGAAACACCCAGTGAGCTTCACCCCTTGACAAGCTGCAAGTGGCAAGTTGTAACGTTAACACTAAGCTCCGATACCTGTGCTGACTTTTAACCCTTATCTGCAGCTTCACAAGCMCCATTAGGATTTTTCTAGCATTAAAGCACGCAGACTGTGGTTAAGTATTAGATCGTCAGCCTGMAAGTGTAGCAGCCACGGTGCAGAAGTGCATGTCCAGTAATTACAGTGCTTGGAAATGGCACTTTGTAGACACAGCAACAGAGAGATTGAAAAACTCCCTCTGGGTTTATTCCTGTTGCGAATTACTGTATATGTATAAATGGATATTATCTGAAAAAGCAATTTCACCGCGATCCTCTAATGGAAATTCCTCCATTCTTCCCATAACTTTAAGCCAGGCCTCTTGTATGCACTTTGTACTTAGATGAATTTGCCAAAGACCTTTTCACTTACGATAACGAAAGCCAAACGCTCCACAGAAAGCGAGTCCTACCAGTTTTGAGCAGCTTTATCTCGGTAACATCTCCCGTGTCTCCAATACACCTAGGTGCAATCCTGTATTTGTCATAACTGACGATGCCAGATACGTCACCCTCAACGCCCGATTTGAAAGTGCTAAAGTTGTAATACTTAAGCGTAATGTAATATATTGTGCTGATCCGTGCAGCATTGGAGCACCACCAGTTTTATCTCCCCGTCTCCCCCAAAATAACCCCTGGCAGGCGCTCAGGGGCACGGATCTATTACGAGAGCCCAGCAGCCCCTTGGACACACGCACCAAGTTACCTGTTTTTTTCCCAAACGTTGGAGGCTTTTTCCCGAGTCCCGCTCCCACACACACCCCGGCCTTCCCGCTAGCCGCCCGCGCGGCAGTTATCGCGGCTACTCCACGAGGAGCATCGCGGCCGCTCCTAGGGACAGCCCGAGCAGCGGATTTTGGAGGGATAAAGGGGAATTGATTTTGAGGGGAAAAGGAGAAGTTCGGGGAAGTTTTCGAGGGAGCAGCGAGAGGGTCTCCCGGGGGGTATCCGGAGCCGGTGCCGGCAGCTCCCACGCGTTTCTCCCCACGCCAAGTTGCCCCCTCCGTGCCTCCCACGCGTTATTTCCTCCCCCCCTCGGCAGCGCTCGCCGTTGCGGGCCGGGGGGGCCGGTTGGGAGCGAGCGAGCCCGGCAGCGGGGAGCCGGGCCCGGGGGCGGCGCCGCCGCCGCGCTCCGCTCCGCTCCGGGGGCGTTGCGGGGCCCGCGCGGGCAGAGCCACGCGGCGCGGGGGCGCCCCACGCCGAGGACGAGGAGGAGGGCGGGCGGGAGGAAGGCGGCAGGTGCCCGCAGGGAGCCCCCGGCGCGGCCCCGCACTCACCTCGCCGCCGCTCACGTACAGCTCCATTTTGTGGCACGGCGCCGGCTCCTCCGCGTCGTCCAGCGGCGCGAACGGCACCATGGCCCGCGCCGCTCCGCCGCGCCGCTCAGCCGCGGAGCCGCCGCCGCCCGCGGCACATGCCCCGCGGCGGCCGCAGGCGCTCAGAGAAGGACGGGGAGGAGGAAGAAGCGGGCGGGCTCGGCGGCGGCTCCGCTGCCCATAGAGCGCGGCGGGCGCGGGGGCAGCGGCCGCTGCTGCTACCGGCCGGCGGCGGCTCCGCGCTGCGCTGCCCCTCACACACCCCCCAACATGGCGGCCGGCGAGGGGGCGGCGCCCGCCCGGCGCGGCGGTGACGTCAGCGCGGGACGGAGAATCCCCTGCATGGGGAGGGGGGAGGGGGCGGGGCCGGTGACGCCAGGCCCCCCCCCCGGAGTCCCTCCCCCTCCCCGCCACGCGCGGGCGGCGCGTGGAGGCGGGAAGCGCTGAGGGAGCCGCGTGTGGCCGCCGCGGATCGGCCCGGCCTGGTCCGTCCTCGCGTGGGGAGGCAGCGAGGCGGCCACGGCCCCCGCGCTGCCGCCTGAAGGGCCGCCCCCCTTCACCCCACCGCCATAACGGTCGTTCCCGCCCGGCCTGTCAGCGCCGGCGCCCGCAGCCGGAGGCGGAGGAMATCCGGCCTCGAAGAGCGGCACGAGGGCACTAAAAAAAGGAAAATATCGAGGGCATTAAAAAAAGGAAAAGCTTTTTTTTCAAAGTTCGGAGATAATCCTGAGTTCTGAGGTTTTCAGATAAAAAAGGATGAGCAGTGAGAAAGCGCAAAGGCAGGTTCTTCTTCGGCTCATTTGTCAAACCAGAAGGGCATAGGGAAGGCCATGGTTGAAACAAGTGCACTTCTCCATCACTCTTTGATCTTAAAAGCAGGAAGAGGTTAGAGAACGGTGTGAAAATTAAGATTTTTTTKAAAGAGAGAAGACTGCCTCGATGGCACCGAGGATTTTAGTTAAACACTCCAAATGGCTTTTTAATAAGCACTGTGTATGTAACAGGAGCAAAGACAGTCTCCAACCGGCCTTAATAGCCAAATAATTTTAATGCAATTAACTTGACCAAGGAACAAGCTGGTGCACTGTGAACCCCAAACCCAAGCACCRTGTAAACAAGTACATAAGATGCTGTGGTGCCGTAGACCCTGATTAAATTAGAGCAACCTGTCCCACAAAGCTACCCGTTACCAATATATTGTAATTATAATGAAGAGAATTACCTCTTGTGAACKTATCCTTACAGCAACCGCCAGCAGCGCGTCAGTATTTCCATGTTAAACCTGTTTTTGCAGGTCTGTATCTCAGCCATTGGAGACAGAGGTTTGGACTGAAATGAACGTGCATCAGGAACGTGCTTCCCTCATGAAAACATAAAGTATAAAAGACCAAAGTCATCAGTACTCAGTATTAAGAGCAAATCAATTTAAATTCTAAATTAAAAAAAAAAAGTGTGTAGGCTGGATAGCTTGCAAACATTGTTTTTCTTGTAGTTGCATCGTGCACATGCGGGGCTTTTTGCATGGTCAAGTGATGGGAGAGGAAGGGAATCCACAGATCCTCCAAGCAAACACAGACAGTAACGRGCAGGTCCATCCAGGTCCACCCGTGCTCATCCACAAAATCCAGTCCTTTTCTGTGAGATTAAATGTGTGTGTGCATTCCGGGATCATCATGAAGCAAATCTTAATTTAAATAAGAAACTAACTGCCAAGTGACTTCTGCTTTGGAAGTGGTGGGGTGCTCACCAGGAACTTGTATGGAAAACCTGCCTTGGGATGCCCTCATCCTGCCCCGACCTTTTTTTATTGCTACTGTGACTTTTCCTATTATCATAAAAGATGACAGTTTGCAAGGAAATATTCTCCATCCCCAAGGCCTAACACTATAATATTTGAGGAGARTTCAGATAGAAACAATAATCAAAGAAATGGGGATTGGGAATAATTTCCTGTCAAAGGTTAAGAAAATTTGATATACATAGATACAATAATGACTCATTCAGTAAAAGTAAATTCATTTTTTTTTCCAGAGGTCTCTCATCCAAAGAACCAAAAGCTATTCAATAAAGAGGTGGCAGCAGCAGCAGCAGTATATCACTGAAATTCATAACTTGGCAAGATCCAGAAAGAAGGAGACTTTTATAGAAATGTAAAATACCAAAAATAAAACAGCAAGTCATTAATTTAGGAAGAGATGGTAAACCGCATGCCTTGGGTTTTAAACCAATATMTAAATGACAGATATGTGGACAAGTTTTGTATTCCTTTCTGGAACATCTAATTTAGCCCATCCGTGACTGAATGCAAGTCAATTCTGATTTAGTGCACAGTTTTCAGATTAATATTTTTTATGTTCTAGTACCTTAATTAGTGGAGTAACCTCTACCCATTATGTGCCTCGGCATGTTGTTGCATCATCAGCGCGACGCAACCAGTATTTCCCCCATCAGGTGCGCTATTGAGTTTTACGAGATAAAGATTTCAAAACAAGCGGTTTCTCAATATTTGCTCACCTTAAAACCAGCTCCGTGACCCAGCGAAGTTGCTGAGACGGCGCTTTTGGCATCGATGGGAACGGGTTGTGCAGCCRCGACGCTGCTCGCGCGGGGACACCAGCCTGGACCTGCCCCACGCGCCTGTCCTTGGGATGGGACCTGGGTGACAACAGCCCTTTTCCCTTTGCTCATTCCGATTCCCTGCAAGTATCAGTCTTGATACTTGAAAATACCAATATCATATGCTTGAAAATATGAACAGCAGATTGCTTGGGAGGTAAACAAAGTCCCTGCAAATTTCTTGCCTGTCATCATTAGCAGTGAATTTTTCCAAGGGTGATTATTTGGCATTCCTCCYTAGATTTTCTGTCAATCTGTATCAACCTTGTCCCCAAGCAAGACTATTTCAGAAGGATTCTACCAACTACATTCATCCATTCTCTGCAAAGGAAAAATAAGAATATTATCAGGCCAGCATCTTCCACTCCCCTCCTACCCCAAGGTAATGATAGTGGAGCCCCAACCACACYAACCATGGCCAGCTCCATCCTGGAAAATGAGGCAGAAAGAGCTGTGAATATAGGAATATGTGAATAATATTTAGTGCAGAGAGAGGCCAGGAAAGAAACTACACAAAAATCCAAGCTTAAGGGAACTACCCAAGCTGGGACTAAAGCTTTTATTCTGTTGAACAACGCATGCAGAGTTAGAGCAACACAACTCTCTCTTCTCTACTGTGCGGCCGAATTTACATGGGTACAAAACATTCTTCTATAAGTGTGACTTTTTTTTCACCTAGGAAGGAAAATAAGCTGGCCTGATGCATAGAAAGGGGCTAGTTGTGTGCTTGCGCCTACTGCAGATTTGTTCCGGAGTAGGAACCGATTTACCCAGAGTTCATTAAATAAATATGAGATATTCCATATCCATATCCCATCCTGTCTATAGCAGTACTTAAAAAATGCAAATGTAGTCACACTTGTGTATGTATGTCTATATTTACAGAAATGTAATAGAAAATATATACTAAACAGTTCTGATTTTGTTGAGCTGTTTGTTATGCAGCTTGCTCCCTTCTATGGTGGCAAGAGAAGTCGCTCGCACGAGCTAACAGCAAGGGTAATTTTTATGCTCAGTTATGTTTTAYCGGATGTATGAAGCAAGAGTGAAAAGACCTTCACAGAATCCCTGCTTCAGTTTTAGGAATGTATTTCTCCAGTTAMATCTTTTGTAGTAAGCTTCAAAAAATCTTTTTGAAGAATAAATGCAGGAGATGATCAACGGTCACTATTTTACTTTGACCATTGAAGAGCACTCTTGGCTTCAAGCTCGTACATGAGAGTAGCCAGCTAGGACATGGGATAAACTCAGCAGGAGTTTCAGCATGTTTGTCTCGGAGGAGCTAGAGAGAGCTCTTAGACATACAGGAAATACAAAAAAAAAGTATATGCTGATCCAAATTTATGGATGGTAGAGTGTGAAAACTCCAGATAGACAGAAAGGGAATGAATTTCCTGCTATTGTTTTTGATGCTTTCCCAAATACAGTTTTCACTTAAAACTTCGGAGTTATTCTTCATTTTAAATTCATTTAGGATGGAGATTTCCTACAACGTGATGTATATGGGATCTTATTTGTTTGTTTTTACATCAAAGCAGAGTGAGTCCTACAAACCAGCCAAATGACAGATCGCAGTAGCTGTACACGGTCAAATGAAAAGCTACATAGCATTAAATTTAAAGTCCAAYCTCCTGTCTCCAATACTGGCTGGGAAAACAGAGACCAAAGAGAAGGTAAAAGCAGGGAGAGCAGAACCCAACAATGTCTGCAGAATTTGCTCTCAGCCTGCAGCAATTCAGGCTTCCTGAGCCAGGGAGGGTATCTGGACATACTTGTCTTGATAAATGATTTTTCCATGAATTTGTCCAAGCCTCTTGGAATCTCTAAACTTTTAGCAGCCATAACATCCCTCAACATCTCCCACAGCTTGGCCTTATCTTGCTTTGAGCCTGMTGCTTCTTGGGTTCATCTGGTGCTCCCTAACCTTATATTGTAAGACAGACTAGTTAATGACACTCTCCACATGCACATGATTTTATACATGTTTCCCACGTCCTCAGTTCTACCTCGCTGCCTTCAGTTTTCCACATTGGAGATTCCTAGGCCAWCCAGTCATCTGTGAATGAAGGATGGGAAAATTCCAGTTTCTCTGGGCACATTTTCACTAGCRACGCGGAAGTAAATATAAAATAACTACCAGCAGCACGCGCAAATTACAAAGAGCACCGAGGAGAACAGAGCAGCCCTGAGCTATCAAAGTCATCTGGGAGATGACAGGCGACTCAGGGTAAATTACAGGCTGGATCCTGATGGCTCGATGCGAGAGCTGTGATCTGGGAAGGAGGGAGTTGGTTTCAGCTCCATGATCAACGTGGTAAAAACGGATCCTTAGGACTGCAAACATGGGAAATTTGTGTCTAGAAAGGCACAGAAGAGAACCACAGAAGTACTCAGGTGTGGACTTCAAAACTCACAGGGAAAAACCCGAAGGTCCAGCTTTGCCA